AATAAATGCATGTATGAATGTTCCCCCAAAAAAAAGGAAAAAAAAAAAAAAAAAAAGAGAAAAAGAATCAGAGTTAGAGCTGGAAAGGATCATACTTTAACTACCCCCCCACCCCTGCTTCTTTATGAGCTTATACTTAGAAGAATAGGAACGTGGCTTTTATAATCAGAAGAACATAAAGTCAAAAGCGGGAAGAATAGCCCATTTCAACCTTCTTATTTTACAAATAAGAACACTGAAATCCTACGGAGATTCATGCTGACAGAGTTCAAAGACACTGTGCACCCTGGGAAGTGAGCTCAGGAGTCCCCATGGGCCACGTTAAGTAACACCAAATTACAGGGAAGAAAAGCTGCGCTTTTCTAATTAGAAGTCTTCTCTCTTAATTATGTCAAAGAAGAAAGTCTCAGCTAGTGCTAATATGACTCTGACATCTCCCTTTTGAGCAGAAGCAGCATTTCTTATGCTTAGAGCCTTCACAGTCAACAGCATCTGGCTAAAATTTGGTAACAGCACTTTAGCTACATCGCCGGTTGCCAAGGCACAGTCTTCATCAAAACAGATACATTCAGCTGGATTGTCTCTCTAGGTCTAGGGTCCTGCGATTCCACCTCAAAAACTTAATTACATTCTTTACCTACCCATGTGCCAGGCTCACTGTCTCAAGCCTGCTTCCTTATCAAAGTTGTCTCTGTCACTGGAGACCAGAAGCTTTGGGGTCCTCTTTGAAGTTAACCCTCTTAGTCTGCCCGCCCCCTTTCTGTCCCTTATGTTATATACAGTACGTTCCACATGGCGACTCCATCCTGTAAATCCCTTTCTTTGAAACAATTTCCGACTTTAACCTTTGCTTTTTTTTCTTCCTATCTTCAAGTCTACCAATTTCTCTAAGTCTGTGTGTTTCACCTCCCTTTACCAGCCAATAAAATAACTATGACAAAAATTCCCTCCTTAAATACTGTCTGTCAATTTGGAAATAGAACTAGGTCCAACCAACACTAGAGTAAAGTTCTGTGTAAACTTCTTGAAGAATTTTGTCTGAGTTGATACAAAGCTGCCGTCCTGATGGGATGGTAAGTGTATCTGGTTTCTCTGAGGTCTGGAGGTGGTATAAAGATTAAGTAAGTGCCTTTTGAGAAACTGGTTTCAAAAAACAGGAAGGGGAAGGGGAAGGGGAAGGATAATTGGGGTCTTGGAAAAATCAAATAGAATGTATTTTTACCAATAATTCAAAGATTACAAACTTTCAAGTTAATAACAGTTCAGGTTAACATGTATTGTAAGCCTTATGAGGAATTTAAATTGCCATCAAGAAACGCTAATTTTAAAAAATGAGAATGTTGTATTTGAAAATTATGTGTAGCACACCTAGGTGTAATTTATTAAGTGGTTTATTGTCATTGGTTTAATAAATCTAATATTTTGGTAACTAAGGATTATAATTACTAGCACATATGGATTTTATCCATTTGTATGCTTTAAATCTTCATCTACATTTAGGAGATATTAGCCTTATTGAAATCCTTAGTGCCAGTGTTACCCAGATATCAAAACTAGACAAACACGTCAAAAGATAACTACAGACCAATCTCTCTTATGAATATAGATGCAAAAATCTTCACCAAAATGCTAACAAACTGAACCTAGCAATACTATATAAAGAGAATTATACACCATGAACAAGTCGGGTTTTTCTCAGGAATACAAGGTTGATTTCACATCTGAAAAGCAATTAACATAATACTTTACACTAATAAAGGACAGAAACCATGCTACCTCAATAGGCCAGAAAAGGCATTTGACAAAGCCCAACACCCTTGTTAATAATGACTTCACAGCTACATAAATGTTAAAAAGTAATTTCAGTGAGTTTCAATCAGATCAGTTATTCCTTAAAAATGGGGGCCCTGTATGTATGTGTATGTACTGTACACACACACGCCTCCATCCATCTAATCAAGTGGTGTCTCTCTCTCTCTCTTTAATCCTTACCCGAGGATATTTTCTCTACTGCTTCTCAGAGCGAATGGAAGGGGGAGAGAGAGAGAAATAGAAACATTCATGTGAGAGAGACATCGATTGGTTGCCCGCTTGCATGCCAACCAGGGCCGGGGAGCTATGTGCCCTTGGCCAGAATTGAACCCAGAACCCTTCATTCAGTCCAAGAGCTGACGCTCTAACCACTGAGCAAACCGGCCAGGGCTCAAGTGATGTGTCTTAATGATTCAAATCCTTACAGCCCTTACACTCCACTCAATGTTAAATTCCTTCAAATACACAGTAAATACTTTCAAAATATGTCAGCCAGTGATTTAACCTTCAAATATAAATACTCCTTATAATATTTCTAAGTAATGCTACAAACCCTATAAGCACATCTCAAAGTGTACTGGTGGAGCAGTGGAAAGAGACAAGCTTTGGAACCATAAAGAACTCGACTTCAAATCCAAGCTCAATTACAAGTGACTGAAACTCTATGGGTTTTGGTTTCCTGTCTGTGTAATGGAGAAATAAACAAATATTCTGTTGTACTCTTGTGAAGATTTAAAGTAAAAGATAAAAAAAATTTAGTACAAGGTCTGTCATCAGATACTGGATAAATGGTAACTCTTATTAATTCACTGAATTTAGCATTTGTGATATCTGTTCAGCTGCTCAAAAAACAGATCTGAAGTTAATTCCTTCATGGGTTTTCTGAAAATCAGTTCAGTACTATAGCTCAGGTAGTTTCTCATGTACTCAAGACTAATTTTTTGGGCATAACAGAAAATTTCCTACAAAGTGACCTGCCATACATACACACCTGTCTATTTAGTGCAAGTCTAAAGCAATAATCTAGTACTGACATGTAATTTGGAGAAATCTGAGTTAGTAAAGCCATCTATACTTGCAAGTTTTCACTAGTAACTCCCCAAGGAGTCTAATTCTAAAATTCAATTATTTTAGAACCACTCAAATACCATCTCTAGTTACATATCCACATTTCAAAGTTTATCTTTACTTTAATGACCTGTTTTTCCATGATTCTGAAATCCTTTTAGCACTGTATCTGAGAAGGAATTTTAACGTTTTGCCTTTCCAAAGGTGTTAATTTGTATCCAAAAACCAAAGGGAAAACTTGCTACAAAAAAACAAAACAAAACAACAACAAAAAACCCTTAATGAGTAAATTTAGTTAGAATTAAATGAACTGGCTCATTTGAAATATTTGTCATGTAAACAAAAATATTTATATAAGTGTGTTCATAATAGCTTCACCTCATCAGGAATCTGCATTCCACATTTTCTATAGGTTTAACTTTTGGAAATTGACTTTCTCCTCTGCCTCTTAAAAAGAAATTAATTTACTTGCAACGAGGGCTACATACTAGCAGAGGCAATAAAAGGGACTAAAGAGTATACGGATCATAAGCATACGCTACTTAATAAGCCTGGGAAGGTAACATACAGGTCTGCAAAGACAAGTATTAATAACAATTTCAGGAAATACAGCTTCATCGCCTATCTGTGTAGCATTCAGAAAGACACAGCACAAACAGCTTCTATGCGCAATCCCCCCAGCTCCTAAAATTTTCTAACTTAGTTATAATGTTCATTTTTTAATTCTGCCTCCACCCCGACACAAACTATAATGTGGGTTGCACAAGGGCAAGGATTTCTGTTTTGCACTCTTACATAGCCTAAACACCCACAACAGTGTCCAACCAAGAGCAGGTGCTCAATAAATAATTACTAATGATTGAATGTGTATATGTAACAGATAAGAGCAACAAGCATATTAGTGTGCCACTTAAAAGATCAATTCTCTAGATCAGATTGACAACATTCCTGAACAATGGTTAAACATCCCACCACTTTAAATTACTCAGCTCACATTTCCCTTAAAGACCCTACCTGCCTGAGTGCGTTCCTATGGCCACCACTGTGCCACTTGGATGAAAATCTGCACAGTGTCCTGGTTCCTAGAAGAGAGACAGACAGCTGTTGGGGAGTACATGAGAAAGTCTCCCTAGATCTACAGGAATAGTGGCAAAAACATATTTAAAAATAACTCGTTTCATATAAAGATGGAATTCCAATTAACTTCCTCATAGCCACTTTGATATGAGAGGAAAAGAATTTCAGAGCAGGAAGGGATGCGCTGGCAGAGTGGCGAGGGGAAAGGACAACCAGCTTGTGGCCAGGCAATAGAATAATAATAGGATAACAAACATTTGTACAGTTCTTCAGAGTCTGCAGAGAACATGTATACACCTTTTGGGCTAGAAAAGGTGGGTATCTCGGTGGGGTAGGGAGAAAATACAGCAAGAGACTAACTCAAAAAGAAGACAGAGTCTGTTACTGAGCAGCACTTACTGAATCCAACTGCAACACCACCAGAGGCCCAAACGTTTCTGTAACAATGCTCCATAAATATGTGAAATCTTTTATTTACTACTGAAACTGATGGAAAATTGAGCTTTTGCACTCCTATTTTGCTTCTTCAGACTAGTTCATGTTATACTTGTGACTAAACACCCTCCCCTTTGCTAAATGCTTTGTTTTAACCAAAGCTGAGTCCTTTCTCCTTTGCTGCTCTCAACTGCTAGTCTGGGGAGTTTCTGTGTGGAGATTATAATCACATTTGCTTTACTCACATCTACGAGCCTGGTCCATTCCAGCCTGTGTTCCACTGAGTTCCACATGCACACCTGTCTATCCTGAGCACATGTCAAGAGCAAGTCTTTGAAGGGATGTGTGGCAAGACCCCAAAGCTCATCTGTATGACCCTGAAAATGAAATATACCTATTGTTATATTAAAAGAAACACAGGGTACCATCAAAAATATTCATTTAATGGTTAAAATCATAGAGTTTACCTGGACTTCTATTTGGAAGCCATCATTAAATGTTCCCCGTAAAATAAAATTTCGTGATGTGCCAACTAAAAATTGATCTGCCTTTCCTTCTGCTACAGCTCTGATTGTTCCATACTGATCAGGAACCTAAAAAAAAAAAATTTGTAATGTCACCATACACATACTAACATGCACTAATTACTACCTGAAGTAGTAATTTACAGCTGAAAGCAATGAAGGGGTAATAAGTGACAGAATTCCAAATTTGAAAGTAATATGGTAATCTGATGCTAATTATTTATTCAATTACATTTTATTACACAGAAATTATAATGTATTATTGTTAACACTCTTTGTTTCAGTTCATTTTAAATTTATATTTTGTATGATTTTAGGAGTTAAGGGTCAGGAGGAGAGGAAAAAAGAGTGAGTTCTATTGGATCACATGAAGCATGAGCTGGTTTCATTACTAGTTGTGTCATTCTGGGTAAGTCATTTAGCCTAAGACAAATGTCTTCATATGTAACATGGGGATAACAATAATACAGGCCCTACTTACTCTGTAAACTAAACAGTGATACATTATAAATCTCATTTAATCCACTACATGATAAACTCTCAGTGAATGTTATATTAATATAACAAGCCCAAAGAATGACTTTCTGAAATAATCCATTCTTTCTTCTTTATGAAGATCCAAAATTACCCCTAAAAGCACCAGGAACTGAATTCTAAAAGTAATCCAAATTTATGTTAGAAATGGCAAGGGGAGGGTAAACCAGATGGTATAGCTTTTGACTAGAGAGGGTATGAGTTGTATGTGAAGAAAAGAAACAGCATGAACTTAAGGTTGAGATAAAGCAATTCTTTCCTATCTTCTTGGAAATAAAACCCAAGAGCAGTACTATTAGGACCCTCTTTTTTAGAGATTTTGTCTGGAAAACATGTTACGTGTAGAAAATACTGAGCGTAAGTTCAAAATTTAAGTCACCAAAGAAGAGAAGCAATATTAAACTCTGCCTTTGCTTTGAGAATTACTGATCTAAAACACAATTCTTAACTGTTTTACTTCCCGAGACCGCAACTCAATTAGCACACTTTCACTGCACACACAATGCCTGCCAGGTTTTATGGATACACTCGGGTCCACGCCACGAAGCAGACACACACACAGAAAATGAGCTACTATCATTAAGCTCACTGTTGAAATGATTACTTTCAAGTTTTAATATTAAATTGGTCATTTTGTATACCCTGGTTATATTCTGGATCACTAAAGAAAAATTAATCTCAGAAATAAACAATTATTCTGCCCAATCTTTTTTTTATTCTTTCAAATTATTTTGTGTAATGATTGGTCTCTTTTTCTTTTTGAGAAAATGAAATGACAAGGGCATGCACCAATTTCCCAGAAAGTGTGTTCTCTTAACGTGGGACAGAAGACATGAGCTCAGAGGAATTAGCACCATGATTTTTATGTTCCCATACTTACCTCGATTTCTCTTTCAGGATTCAGATCATGATCCCACAGGATTACTTTTCTGTCTTTTCCTCCTCCGGTTAATAACATCCCATTTCTCATCTGACAGAGTGTGAACACACTGCCATCATGGGCTTTGATTTGTCTGCTGATTTGATAAACTCCTAATACGATGAGGAAAATAAAAACAGTAGTGATATGTTTTCCCTCAAACTTGAGTGGCTTTCTGGAAGAAAACCTGAGCAGAACTACAGACGTTCTTTGACTTAAGATGGGGCTGCATCCCGAGAAGCCCACTGTAAGTAGAAAACGCATTTAATATACCTAACCTACCAAACATCATAGCTCAGCCTAGCAGGTTTCTACTGAAATGCGTGTTGTTTTTGCACCATTGTAAAGTTGAAAAAACTGTAAGTCAAACCATAATAAATTGGGGACCATTTGTATAGAGTGAATACTCGAAGTACCTATAACTCAACAACCAAAACCCTATTTTCAGCAAGTTGTGCAAGGCTGGTAGTGAGGCTTAATACAATCTTTTGCATTCATATCAATATTTAGTTACTCTGAAAATATTTCAAAATACATTCTTACAAAAGGGTAAACTAAAGTAGCGATAATTCCACAGAAAACAGGGGATACCCAGAACTTTACAATCTCTTAGGATCATCTTATATGGATGGTAGTTAGGGTAGTATTGCTTTTCTGATTTTAGAGCTGAGGACACAGAGGTATAGAAGCAGCTTAACAATACCACATAGTTAGCCAGTGACAAAGCTGTGACTAGGGCTCCAGTCTCTTCACTCAATGTTCCCTGAAGTTTGCAAAAAACCTTTCATTTCCTGCTGAAGTAACAGTCATAGTATTTAACATTTAGCAACCACTGTTGACCTACCTGCTCTGCTCATAGCACTTCACAAGTACCCAGGGAGGGACAAGGCAGGTACATAAAAAATATTGTAAGTGAAGTCTATGTGGACATTACACACACACACACACCAAGGATAAAATCTCAGTGCTCACACCTTTTTCTTTGGTATTTTTCATGTTTTTCTCAGAGAAGCTCTTTATCTGGCTAGTGAGACTGGTAGAGCAAGAGTAAAGATTGTGGAAGACAGTTATTTTGCAGAATTAATTACCAGGTTCAAAATGGGAAGGTAGGGCCTTGTTTAAATTTGGTCAAAGTCAGTCAATAAATAGACCTTAGATCCTTTAGAAAAATAAAAAAGTTACAAATTTAAAAATTGTTCAGTGGGAGAAATGGGTGAAGGTGGTCAAAGGATACATACTTCCAGTTATAAGATAAATAAGGTCTGGGAATTTAATGACCACAGTAAACAATACTGTATTGTATATTTGAAAGTTGCTGAGACAGCAGATCTTAAAAGTTCTCATCACAGGAGAAATGCTATAGCTGACACTAAAAATTACTCAGCGTGAGGGTGCAGATACTTAATAGATGGGTATGTCTGGCAGAGAAAGGGCTTGACTGGGAGTAAAGGTTGCTTGACTGAGCAGAGTAAAAGCAGAACTCCAACAAACCTGCTATTAAGGTCAACTGCTTCAGCTTATAACAACAGTCATCACTTAAAAACACTTTGAAACACTGAACAATTGTGTTCAAGTGGGAGAGCCAAACAATTACCTATAATGTGTGACCAAAAGGGAAAGGACATCTGAGACATGTACATTTTCTGAGAGTATTGTTGGCTTTATTTGAGCATTTAAAAGGGTGGGTGGGGGAGGGGTGGTTATTTTCTCATGTGTGGTTAAATTAACAAGAGTCGTCTTAAAGCACCATGTGAGAAATGGCAAAAAGCAGAGGTGTGGGACAGATCTCCATCAGAACGTAGAGAAATGAAATACAGTTTTTCTATTTTTAATTCAGTTTTCCATATCTTTAAACATGACAAAAACCTTGTTAAACACTTCAAGATCTTCCTAGAATGATGGAATGTTACAAAATAGAAAACAAAACTGAAGAACAAATGCTTCATCGAGCCTGTATGTCTGACATTCCAATTCAAGCCAAATAATGTCTGAAATACCGGCCAAGAAAAATACTTATCCTTGAATTAAAAAACCTATTGTACCTCCAAGCGTAATCACTGCCACATCTATTCAAGCCTAACTGCAAATCCCCTCTTTTCTCTAATCTCTAAAACAGAACAAATCTCCCATAAAAAGCAAGTTTACCTTGACCACTGAATAAGGATGTTTGGAGGGCTTTCTGTGCCTGTTTAACTATAGAATCAAATATCAGTGGGACTTTGAAATTTATGTCATGTTCTTAGCAACTCGGCAAATGGGCCCATGTTGATTACTTGGAGAACAGGCAAAATAGTGATATGCTGCCTTGGCTGGTGCTACTCAGTGGTTATAGTGTCGGCCTATGCACGGAAGGGTCGTGGGTTCGATTCCTGGTCAAGGGCACACACCAGGGTTGCAAGTTCAATCCCTGGCCCGACAGGTGCTCGTACGGGAGGCAGCCAATCAATGTGTCTCTCTCACATCGATGTCTCTGTCTCTCTCCCTCCCTCCTCACATCCCTCCTTGCCACTCTCTAAAAATCAATGGAAAAAATATCCTTGGGTGAGGACTGATTAACAAACAAACAAACAAAATGGTGGTGTGTTACTGAGTTCCTAAAAGGAACTTAGATTTAAGAACAATGAACATTTTAATGGTGGTGTAGATACAATTAACTTCCCCTCTCCCACTTAGGAATTATGAATTACTTCATATAAAAAAAATTGAACTATTTCATATATGTAGAAAATAACAAATACCTTGTACCCCGGAAGAAATAAAAAATACTGAAACAGTAGTGTGTGTGTCTATTACACACACAGATATATACATACACAGTGGAATAAAAAAGGATTTTCTGCCATTTGTAATGACATAAACAGTTCCTGATGGCATCACGTTAAGTGAAATAAGACAGAGAAACACAAATACTACATGATCTCACATGTGGAATCTAAAAATTGAACTCATAGGAACAGTGGTTGCCAGAGGCCACAGTGGGGAAAAGGGGTGAAGGTGGTCAAAAGGTACAAACTTCCAGTCATAAGAAGTTCTGGTATGTAATGGACAGCATGGTGGCTATAGTTAACAATACTGTATCATATATTTGAAAGTTGCTAAGAGGGTAGATCTTAAAAGTTAAAAGTTCTCATCATACACAAAAATACTGTAGCTGTGTGAGGTGATGAATGTTAACTTATTATGTTAATAATTTTGCAATGTATATCAAATCATGTTGTACACCTTAAATATACAATGTTATATGTCAAATATAGCTCAAGAAAACTGGGAAGAAAGAAATAGAATATACTAATTACTTTGAAGATTCTTGTTAATTCCTATTTAAGGTATGGAAGCTAGAAGAAAATATGCAAGAGAACGTATGAGGCATAAAATACAGGTGTAGCTTCTCACCTATTTACTAGAGTTAAAGGATTAGCTATGAAATTATGCTTGTGCCATCCAAAAATGTCCCTTATCAGATATGATATGCATATTTTAGTTGATAAGACTGTAAAGGGTGCAGAAATGTCATATTAGGGAATATAAAAACTAGATCAATCTACTGAAATTTCTGGCAAGATTTTAAAAATAGAAACTTTGAACTCTGTTGTGATCTGGTTTTACACATTTATTTCACTGCATGCATCAAATCCTTCCCAGCCAAACCTATAGAATTGTAACCCCAAATATAAAGGAATAAACAAACTTCTTAGCAAGTCTGCCTGTAACAGTCCTGAAGGAGAGCACAACACAGGCCAGTTCATGTGCCCAGAAATTTACAAGATTAAATTTCCCACTTCCTGTGTTTGATATGCAGATTTTCTTTGTACAAGTTCTTCAGACAAAAGCAAAAATAAAAACAACCTCTGAACCTTTCCCTGCCTCTCCCACCTTGACACACGTTAAGCTAATGAAGGGCAGGTACATTTACAGTCAAACTTCATTCAGTATCAGAGGAAAACATGTCAACAATTTGAGTCACGGTTCTGATGTACAACGCTGTTCTGGGCATTTCAGATAGTGAACAAAAGTGTCCAGGAAAAAGAAAAGAGAGAAAAGTGGGAAATATTGTTCTAATTTTCTTTTTTCTTAAGATTCGACACATTGCCATCCTTCTCATATGTGAATTTTGAACTAAACTGAATGAGAGAGGCTAAGAATGCATGGCCAATGACTGAGATCAGGTTCATCAGTAATACAATGTAAGGATTATTATTTTTTTTAACTTTTAAATACATTAATTCAATTTAACTGCAAAAGTTAGAAATTCAGGTGCATGGATATTGAAAACACTAATGTAGAATTATCTCCTAAAAAATACAGTATAAAAATCTTCACAGTTATAAGACATCAACGATGCTATATCCGAATTCCACATTTCAGTAAAAATAGTGCTTTAATCAGTGCTACTCAACTTCTACACTGACGCCCAAAGGTAAGATTAAAGTCATTTCCTTAATAAAATGTTTAACGTAATTTTCAACAGCTAGTACCAAATGCCAGACATTGTGTTAGTTCTGCGAAAGACTATTAGGAAAGTCAGACATGTAAATTGGGTCTTTCCTTCTGCGCAGGGAAACAAGGGCTCCCTTATTCATAAGCCACGTGTTGATTTCCATGGTCTGATGCAGAGACTCCAGTAAGACCATATTCGCTGAGATACGAGGGCTGGGAAAGGCGCTGGGACAGAAGTAGGCACTTGGAGTGCTGGCTTTTCATCAACCAGGGAAGTATTTTAAAAATTGGTCCTGCCGTACCAATTTGATGGCTGAATGACGGCCCAACTTTTCTGCATGCGCATGGCACGCCAAGTGCCCAGGGAGGGGCAAGGCAGGCACGTCAGAAATATCTTAAGTCTGTGTGGAGCTTAAACACACACGCGAGCACACACGCACACTCTTAGATCCGCTTGAAGGCTGAGGATAAGGTTTAGTAATCAAGCCTCTCCCACTCCCCCACTGCCGTCTTAACTTTTGTTTTCTTTTCTTTTAAAAGATCTCACTTTTGCAATCCTCGCAGGCTCCTTTCTGGTCATCTAGCCTGGGATACAGGGCCCTTGGCCTCACAGCTCTTCCCTCTTCCACGGTGAGTTCACCCAGGCTGTGAAGTCGGCTCTCTCATTTCCGTTACCACTTTCACGTGACAGACTTGTTCACCAGCCCGCCTGCCTGACTCTCTTACCCACCTTCCTACTTCCGCTTGCACGGTTTCCCTAAACTGGAACCAAAGTTCCATACCTTTTGTACATTCACTATGGCTTAACCTTAATACCATTTCTTCTGTGAAGGTTCAAAAAACTCAGAAGATCAGATGATTTCTCTATTATATTTATACTGTTTAAATTAATGTATCATCTCTAATTATTTTCTAATTAACCTCTTAGAAGGAAAGGTTCAGTAGAGTCAAAGGTAGGTTATATATGCTTAATAAATGAGTAAACATTTTAATTTTAAAAAGGTCATGAAGAACCTTAAAAACGTAAGGTAGGTTAGTAGTTCTCACACCGATTTACTGCAGCCCCGCTCTTGCCTGGGTATGAGGTGGGGCTCCAATAGCAGCGTGTGCAAATTAAAAAGGAATGATGCGAATATGAGAATACAGTACCTTTCGGCCCTTTCCCAGGTGTGGGTTCTACAGTAGTTTTGCTCCATATAAGTATGACTCCACCTGAGTCTCCAGTAAGTACATCTCCATTCCCCAAAAATGCTAAACACTGCACAAATTTTGGTTTTTCATATTTCTACAAAGAAACAATGAGAATTTTCAGTTTTTCCTGTGGCATGATGACTTCATGCTCACTCAACAATTAAAAATTAAAGTTTTATAATTAATTTATAACATTATGATCCTTACCCCAAAAATTCCCTGTTTTCTTGTTAGTGAATTGCCACTCCAGGTCCAGAAAAAAATATGAGATTTACCACATGTTATTATGGTATTTGCATCTGTTGGATGGAACTCCACAGCCAAAACAACTTCATTTGTTGTCTGTGGAAAGAGAAATAAAGCTTTAGATGAATGTGTACTCTTATCTCCATCAAATACCAATTACAGCTACAGATAATCAAAGACAGGAAAAAAAAATTTTGGGAAATGCCTTTTCTTCCAAGATCTATTTTCCTGAATTTTTTTTTTTTTAAATATATCTTTATTGATTTCAGAGAGAGGAAAGGAGAGGAAGGGAGAGAGATAGAAACATCAATGATGAGAGAGTCATTGACTGGCTGCAGCCCGCAACCTGGGCATGTGCCCTGACTGGGAATCAAACCCTGATCACCTGGATCTAGATCGATGCACAGCTGCTGAGCCACACCTGGCCGGGCATTCCTAAACATTTTTAGCAATAAATTTTTGTAATAATTATTTAAATTTGATGTCTTCATACTATTATATCATCTTTTATACTATTTATATATAATAACTATATTAGGAAGACATTTATATGAATTTTATTTTATTTAAAAAAAAAATTTATTTGATTTTAGAGAAAGAGGAAGGAAGAGGGAGAGAAACGCTGATGTGAGAAATAAACACCAATCAGCTGCTGCCTGCACTTCCCCCGAACAAGGATTCATCCCACAACCCAGACATGTGCCCTCACCATCAAACCTATGGTCTGAAAGTGCACAGCCGAGCCACACCAGCCAGGGCTGTATGAATTAGTTTTAGATTTTAATTTCTTGCATATTTAGGGAAAAGTACACTAAAACTATCAAATGCGAGAGCAACACATATTTGTCTTAAAGACACTGCCATTTTGATTAAAAAAAAGAAGTCTTGCCCGGCCGGGCGTGGCTCAGCGGGTGAGCGTCGACCTAGGATCCAGGTGATCAGGGTTCGATTCCCAGTCAGGGCACATGCCCAGTTGAGGGTTGGATCAATGACTCTCTCATCATTGATGTTTCTATCTCTCTCTCTCTCCCTCTCCTTTCCTCTCTCTGAAATCAATAAAGATATATTAAAAAAAAAAAGTCTTATCTTTCTTTGTACTATTATTACTGACCACTCATTCACTTACTAATTTAGAGAATCGTCCTCAGGCTAAAGGCTTAAAAAGTATATAGAATAGTCACTACTGATTCATATAAAAATGAAAAACAAAAAACAGAGCTTTTATGCCATTTCCCTAAAAAAATTTAGAAGAAACAGAGTTTAAGCTTAAAAGAACTGGAGAAAAAAAGGAACAGGCACGAGAATCCGACGGAATTACAAGTAGTTTTTTCACTGTAATTACTGAATTGAGGATGTTTTTAAAACACTATTTCAATATGTTCAGTAAATCATAATTGAATTCTTACTAAATTGATGTTTTATGGTAAAAGCACCTACTTAAACTTAACAGTGAGGTGAAATCTGTATGCTTGTAAAGCTGGTTATTGGTAGCTGGTGTTCCCTGCAGGGTGATATTTAATGTCTTCTTGTTAACTCAGAGAAGAACTTCATGTGCATGGAAGCATTTCCTCACTGCCAACCAACATGGTAAATGTGGTAATCTTATAAACAAAGTGGGTTAAATATAATACCTTTTATATTCTTAAACTAATAAAATGACACTTGAAATTGAGCTCATTTAAAAATTTTTTCCCATGTCTCTAACATTTCCACAATTTTACATTTCTGCTATCTGTTGGGCTCTATGGCCTTGAATAGGCACATAAATAAAACCCAAACAATCTAATGTGAACCTTACCAGGTTTCCTTCAAAAAATGAAGGAAAAGGACAGTATCTTTTCTTGTTATGTAGTTTTGCACAATGCGTGGTATGGAACTATATATACCTAGCAAGTCAAAGTAAATTTTAAAGATAATGTGTTAATTAACAAAGCAAAAATTAGTCATCTCTCTTCTAGGATGATGTTGACTTTAAAAAACTGATTGAACTAATCCTTAGTTTTCACTTAGATAAAATCAAAACTACTTGACAGCTGAATCTTATACCAAACTGATTAATCAAGTTGAATTAACTATAAATATTCCCAATATACAAACGTATAGTGCTAGTGAAAAGATACTCAAGATATAAAGTGAATCACTTTGGGTGTGAGTGTAGCCTTACAGAATATTTTAACTTTTTATTGATGTACATTATACAGAAAAGTTTGCAAATCCTAAGTACATAGCTTGATAAATTTTCACAAATTGAACACATCTCTGTACAGCACCTAGAGCAAAAAACAGAACATTACTAACATTGCAGAAACACCTCAGATCCCTTTTCTAGTCACTATCCCCTCCCCCTGCTCAAGTAACCACAATCTTCATTTGTAGTACCACAGATTAGCTTTGTATGTTTTACTTAAACGGAATCACATAAAATGTACTTCTTCGGTTCTGGCTTATTTCATCAACATTCATTCTGTGAGATCCATTTCATGTTAGTGTATATACTGTAGTTTCTTCGTTCTAGCTATTGTATAGTATTCCTTTGCAGGCAAAGATCACATTATTGATTTATCCATCCTCCTACTGTGGGGTATTTGAATTATTTCCTTTTTGGGGGGCTACCATTATTTTTGATTACTTGTCTTTTGGTCAACACATGTATATATTTTTATTGAGTTTATACCCAGGAGTGGAACAAGATGGGTCAGAGATTATGCATATGTTCAACTTTAGTAGGTAATGCGAAACAGTTTTCCAAAATGGCTTTACCAATTTATATGCCAAGCAGCAGTGTGTGTGAGTTCCAGTGACTTTACACCATCATCAACCTTGGTGTGCCTGTCTACTCTTACCCATTCATATTTCCACGTATATTCAGCTCATCAACTTCTATAAATATCACGCTGGGATTCTGACTGTGTTGAACACACAGATCAATATGCAGAAAAGTAATACCTTTATAATACTGTCTTCTATCTGTTTTTATTGTATATTCTCCCATTTATTTAGGCCTTCTTTAACTTCTGCCAATAAGGCTTTGAAGTTGCTTTACTGAATTTTAAACTTACATAAATTAACAAGTTATGTATCAACTCCCCAAATTCTTGTGACTTAAGCAAGGACAGAGCTCATCTACAGTAGAACAGAGTAAGGTCCATACACAGGAAAAGCTAAGAGGAAAGACAGAGAATCATGACCCAGCCCGAATCAAATCATTCCTCAGGCAAAATCCCTGTATGACCTTTAGTAGAGGCTTTCTTCCTCCTTAAACACAGATCGATAAATTCTCTTTAAGATAGCTTGTTCTGCAGTCGTGCGCTGGAAAGAGTTCTGATACAGACATTTGGGATCAAGTTTAGGGAACTTGCTGACTGACTGGGTAGGAGAAGCAAGGGACAAGGAATCATATCTATCTTGGGCAACTAAGTGGAATGTGGTGTTAATCACTGAGAGGTGAAACTGGTTGGGAGCTAAGGAAGATTAGTACAGATTTGGCTATGCTGATTTGGACTTGTGGCATAGGACATACAAATAAAGATGACTAGCATGCAACAAGAAATGTAGGTTTAAATCTGTGAGGGAGATAAGGGTTGCAGGTAAATGATGTGGGACACAGCAGATAGTAGCTAAGGCTATAGCAGCAGGACAAGATGTCGGTGGAGGACATGAGATATAACTGAGTAATACCAACATTTAAGGTCCTGGAAAGGAGATCAAGGAATGGCCAGTAGGAGGAAAACCACAAGACTTCATCTGGGAATCTTTACTACAAAGGATCAAAATTCATACATTACACTTTGGTATTACTTCCTTATGTTTCAATATTAAATTACCCTGAATGGTGGCTGAAAGACTGTATCTTCATTTATATTTTTTAAAGTTTGAGGTTTCCTGACAAGTACAATAAGATCTACTCTATTTCTTTCAAAAGATTAACTTACACTATTTGAAAACCATAACCTCTTTTCGACCAACAAGCTGAAAACTTGAAGCTCATACAGAACAAAACTGCTGAGACAGAGCAAGTGAGCGGGCGTGCAATTGAACAGGAATGTGATGTTATTTAAGAGTACAGCAAATATGTCATAGGCTTTTTTTAGTCATCCTGTCACTTTGAATCCCTTTGAAAGCCTGTCAGAGGGAGGCCATTTCTGACCCATGTGAACGCAGTTGCAATGCTAACCTTACATTCCTCTTTTACAAGTTATAGCTTGATCCACACAAAGGATCAACACTATTCTATAGCAACTATAAAATATGCCGCATTTTATGTAATACTCCAACAAACATAATTAAGGCCAAAAAGCGTATCATTACATATGCTTTTCAGTTATGTCAGCCATGCTCCTACAACTGAATTTTTCCTTTAGATTTTTAAAGCTTTAGAGATTGAATGAAATAGCACATTTTGTTTAAAAAACAAGAGTAGCCAAGTAGAATATTCAGTCTTAATTTTGAGATTAGACATCCATCTGCTTTGGCACTTCAGCAACATAACGTGTCTGAAATCTCACTGATACTGGTGAAGTTACTTGACTATTCTATTGTAAGATGCCATTAGAATGGCATTCTTTTTTTTTTTTTTAATATATCTTTCATTGATTTCAGAGAGAGGAAAGGAGAGGGAGAGAGATAGAAACCTCAATGATGAGAGAGTCATCGATCAGCTGCAGCCCACAACCCAGGCATGTGCCCTGACCGGGAATTGAACCCTTATCTCCTGGATCCTAGGTCGATGCTCAACCGCTGAGCCACGCCCAGCTGGGCTAGAATGGCATTCTTAATAGCACAAGGTGAAGACAAAGCAATGTCTGATGAATTTGGATAGCTGGTGTGCTCTTGGAAATTATGGACATGCAATAATAGGCTTCCAAGGATTTGCAGAACAAATAATATATTCTAAAAGATAATAATTAAAAAAAAATTTTGACTTACCTTTATTTCTGCTCCTTTTGACTTTCTCTGCCAATCCCACACAGTAAGCATATGCTCATTGGAGTCATCAATAACACATAAATGAACACCTGAATCCTAAAGAAAAGTCAATTAAAGGCATTTAAAATTTTTCAGATAAGGCTGACTTTCTAAGAACAAATACCATATTATTAAAACTGCTAACATTAAGATAATCCAAAATCTTTTAAACTTTTAATTCCTTGAAATATGAATATACTACTAAGACTGTATTTTCTGCAGAAATATAATAAAGATTCTTAAAAATACTTTCCATTTTAAATTTTTCCCTAAGTTGATTTCTACTTGCCATCTGGCCACTTCTATTATCCAGAGAGAGCAAATGATCCATTCTGAGGATACCCTCGTCCCTCTGCATCTTCCCTCTCACCTTCTTGTATTGAAAGTATAGTCCTTTGAGGTAGGCATGAAATGTACATAATTTCATAACTTTGCTCCTAAGTTTTGATAATTTGATAAAACAATTAATGGCTTATTTTCAAGTTTGTCAGTTTCAGCTTTCCATGATATACATGATTTACAATTAATATGAACAAACAAAATAAATAAAAGCATAACTAAATTCCTTTCTATTTATTTTTCCAAAATGATTTTCATTCACATAATTTAAACCTCCCAGTTTAAGAAAAAGAACTGTGGATATTAAAAGGTTATTTTTTTTCCTACTAGCATTTGCAGCATATGCCTTAGATGTCTATGAACAAAGAACTGCTGTGGAGGAGAGGAGATGTATGCGGAAGAGCAGAGCTCACTCTTTCCTCTTTACCTTTCTTTTAGCTTGTATTGGAATGATTACCTAACTTGGGAAAAGTTAGAGTAGGAGGCAATCCAAGATAGTCTTAACACTGTAACAGTGATATCAACGAGATGACAATAGTTCCTGCTATAGAGATTTTAGGAGGAAAAAGGTAGCAAAAGTATTTCCTCTCTGTCCTTTTATCTCCTTTCCTAAATGTCTTTCTCCCAACTCCTGACTCATTTGACCCTTGACATTCAGTGCTTTCAAGCTAGCAAAGTTCCTATATCCACCCAAATTTATCTTTCTGTTCTAAAAATGTCCCTTCCTTCTCCATGTCCCACAAAACTCCCATAATCCAGAATACAGCTGCTGATGCCTAGGAACTGAAGAGTATGAATAAATAAATATATTCTAAAGTATAAATGGGACCCAATAAAATCTAGAGGGATATTTATATTTGAAATTAAAAATCCTGCCTGGCTGGGCGTGGCTCAGCAGTTGAGCACTGACCTAAAATCCAGGAGATTGAGGTTCGATTCCTGGCCAGGGCACATGCTTGATCCCCAGGCGGGGGCGTGCAAGAGGCAGCCAATCAACAATGACTCTCTCATCATTGCTGTTTCTCTCTCTCTCTCCCTCTTCCTTCCTCTCTCTGAAATCAATAAAGACATATTTAAAAAAATATAATAAAAATAAATAAACCCTGCCCTGGCTGGTGTGGCTCAGTTGGTTGGAATGTCGTCCCATAAACCAAGGTCACGGGTTTGATTCCTGGTCAGGGCACACGCCCAGGTATATTCTATTTCTTCCTTCCCAGTTTTATTGAGCTATAACTGACATATAACATTGTATATTTAAAATGTACAACATGATTTGATATACATTGCAAAATTATTAACAGTAAGTTAACATCCATCACCTCACACAGCTATAGTATTTTTGTGTATGATGAGAACTTTTAAGATCTCTCTCTCTAAAAAGAAAAAAATATGGATCTCAAAATGTAGGTCTCCTACATTTACATTAATATTAATGATTATATATAATTTAAGAGTGAATATAATGTTTAAATTAGTAACATTCTGTTTTGTTTTCCCCTCAGAATGAAGCCTCAAGGCTTAGGTAAGATTGCTAAGTACTGAATCTTAAACTCATGTTGTCTTCAATTCAGAACGAAGATAATTCATGATTTTAGTGACTACAAAGGTCTGATTGTTACTTTTGCTCCAACATGACATTAAGAAAAGACAGTATTTGTGCATAATTGAGCAAGTCAAGTCTGTGAATTTTCTAAATAAAATAGAGCTCCATTATTCAAGCTAAAACAAAAGCACATCTTAGTGCTTGTTTTAATTTTACTATGCTATGCATGTATTCCTCTAACCATTTCCTGATACTACACTGGAATTCTATTTCAGGACAGAACAAAATTAAGTATAATTAAGTGTAATATCCTGGATCCTACCTAAACCAAAGTACTGTAGTACTTAGTTTAAAATGCTGGCTGTAGCTAATATCTCATGTTTCAGTTCAGAGTTATCACTTTCTATGAGCGCGCGCGCGCACACACACACACACACACACACACACACACACACAC